AGAAAGAAAGAAAGAAAGAAAGAAAGAAAGAAAGAAAGAAAGAAAGAGAGAAAGAGAAAAAGGGGGATGGGGGAGAACAAAGAGAAGCAAAAGAACAACCCTGGAGTGAGTTATCTCGGGTACAGAGCCCAGAAAGCAGAAGGGACTGAGGACATCAGTAAGCCCAGAGTTAAGAGTGCGTTTTTTCAACCTGTCATGCTGGCGCATGCCTTTAATCCCAGCACCCAGGAGGCAGGAGTAGGTGGCTCTGTGAGTTCAGGACAGTCTTCTACTTCTACATAGTGGACAGCCAGGGATACATAGTGAGAGCCTGTCTTTAAAAAAAAAAAAAAATTAACCTGGCAATTAGAAAATCCCGGGGAACTTCACAGAGAGCAGTCTGCACAGGGGACCAGCAGTAAAGCCAGACTGCAGGGTGGCAAGATGGTGCCCATGAGTTGAGGTTTGAAATGTAGACTCTTTTCAAGGGAGTGTGTGTGGAAAAGGCTGCTTAAGACGGAATAACTATCTACAAAGCGTAAAAGCCAGAGAACAAAATGAGACAATGTGGATAAGGTGTTCAGCACAGCAGCTGCTTTACATTAAGCACTCAATAAGCATAAAATCATTACTCTCATGTATTCAGTAACCACACCATAACAAACTCACTCTGTACCATGACCGTTCTAGGCCTCACTCCTGACCCAAGCAGATAAATACCAAGAAAAAAAAACAAGAGGGGGGGGATGGTCTAATTCTATTTTGTTGCTATGATAAAATACTCTGACAAAAAGCAACTCAGGGGGGAAAGGTTTATTTCACTTACAGATGCCAAGTCACAGTCAGCCCATAACTGTGCAGCAGTCCAGGCAGGGATTTCAAACAGCTATCGGGACACATCTGGAGTTAAACGAAGAGAAAAATGAATGAATCATGCCCACTTGTCTGCTTGCTGATGCTCAGCTCAATTTCTCCCCTCTCATACAGTTCAGGGGCCCCCGCCCCCCGTAGGGAATGGTGCTGCCCACAGTGGGCTGGGTCTTCCCATATCAATTATGAAGGTGGTAGCAAATGCTGCAAAAAGGGATAGCATTTCAGGCAGGGTGTCCTGGGAAAGTCACTTATTGAGAGACCCAAAGGAAATGAAGAAAGTAACTATAATTAGGGGGGAATAATTATTACCATCTGCACTGCTATTAGTATTTCTGATATAGCATTACAGCCAAAGTATATTGTTATCGCGTATTATTACTTTCTCTGCTACAATTAATGTTGTGATAACCACTACCGTCTCTGGCTGCTGAGTAATTTAAGCAGTGGCCTGTGGAAGTCAACCAGAGTCTAGTACTGGGAAGGGCAGAAGCAAAGGGACACGTGGGAATTAGTTATGAGTGAAGAGCTGCAAACAAGAAAGAGATAGCAGGCGTTACAGCTCAGGCCTCAAGTCTCAGTACTCAGAGCATGGAAATATTACGAATCTGAGGCTAGTGTCAGGCAGAGAGAGAGGCTCATGTTGGGGAGGGAAAGAGAGGAGGGGTGAGAGAACATGAGTGGGAATGGAGAGAATGCTTGTGTGAGTGCTAAGGATGACCTTTTGGTCCCAATATGAACATATGAAATATCACACACCAGTATCATCCTCACCCAAAAGGCATTGGAACAAGGAGATCTCTGACACAAGGGAGGGCAGTAATCCCATCTGAGATGAGCATAGGTGTACAGTGTACGACAAAGAGATTACCAGATAGGATCGTGTTTCTATAGTAACATTTATCTGGTCATTAGAAACAGGGGTTTATGAGCTCCATAGGAGACTAATTAAGAGAAGCTGGAGGTCTTTGCTGTTTGACAAGGCAAGCACAATGCAGAGTGAGGGAGGTATGTAACAGTATTAAACTAGTGAGGGTCACTCCTGCTCATGACTGAACTTGTCTGCTGAAACAGACAAAAACTTCCTCATGTTTAAAATCTTCTACCTGGGGTTGGAGAGATGGCTCAGCTCAGTGGTTAAGAGCATGGACTGTTCTCTCAGAGGACCTAGGGTTTGATTCCCAGCATCCACGGAGAGGCTCACAACTTTAACTCCAGTCCCAGGGAATCTGATGCTCTCTCTGGCCCCCAAAGGCACTAGGCATGCATGTGACACACAGACATTCATGCAGGCAGACTATCCATTCATATATAAGAAAAGTATCCATCGAGTGTCTTTATAAATGTTTTAAATGACAAAAAACATGTCCTTCCAGGCAATGAAACTAAAAAGCCAGGAGAAAACTACAAAAGAAAAAAATTGAATAGGCCAACTACATTTTATAGCTTGAATAAACAGCAGTTTATATTTTGTTTTATTATATTTTAATATATATTTTAATTTAATAGATATTCTAAGACATATATATTACATTCACTTCCTAAGGATATACAAGCCTCTGTGTTTAATCTCATTTTCCTTGGAGGGTAGAAAAGCCAAGATATGGAGCTGGTGATATGCTTTAGCGGCATGGCACTTGTTGGGCATGTGAAGGTTCTGAGTTCAATCCTCATTACAGTTTGAAAAAGAAAACAAAATGGTTCAAGGTCATACAGCATGCCAGGAATCCAGACTCCTGGTCACTCAGCTGAAGAACACGCAGAAGGAAAGGCAGGAAGAGATGAAACGCTGGCTGAGGAGTAACTCCCTGATCCGTCGGCAACTGAAGAAGCATGACGTGAACTACCATGAGCTCCATCACCTCCTTCTTCAAGCATCCTTATGATTTCACATCGTGGCCAAAGTCCTGAAGGATATCTACGCTCCTCATGAGTTGCTGGGCTAAGGTGCCTGTTAGGTCTGCAGAATCCTTCAGTCCAGACTGTAGGAGGAACCTGGTGCAAGCCACATGCTGACCTGCACAGGCCAGATGCAGGGCTAAAGGGAGACAGGGTGATCTACGCTGAGAACATATACTGCACTCAGGAACAAACAGTGGGTTATTCGGTTCTACAGAGCTTACGTGCATGCACTCTGAGTGTGAACATGTGCGAATGTGCACTTGTCACATGGCCTGTGGAGACAGGAGCCAGAGGACAACATGCAGGAGCTGCCTCTACCCACTGTGCAGGCCTCAGTGGGTCAAATGTAGGCCACCAGGTGCTCTCACCGACTGCATCGTCTTGCCAGCTCTCCAGTGACAGACATTTTACACTTCAGTACCTATCCATGGTGGCCTGTGTTGGATGGTAATTTTAACCTGACTGGGTTACAATTTTTCCTAAAAAAAAACCAAACCTGCCAGGTGTGGTGGTAAGCACCTTTAATCCCAACAAATGGGAGGCAGATTTCTTTTCTTTTTCTTTCTTTTTTTTGTTTTGTTTTGGTGTTTTGAAGCAGGGTTTCTCTGTGTAGTTCTGGCTGTCCTGGAACTCACTTTGTAGACCAGGCTGGCCTCGAACTCAGAAATCCGCCTGCCTCTGGCTCCCAAGTGCTGGAATTAAAGGCGTGTGCCACCACCGCCCGGTGGGAGGCAGATTTCTGAGTTCAAGGTGTCTACCTGTTTTAGGTAGTGAGTTCTAGGACAGTCAGAGCTACATAGAGAAAATCTGTCTCAAAAAAACAAACAAAAAACAAAAAGGAAGAAGAAAAAGAAAAACCTCATAAAAATAAATCAGAAGATGTAAGAAGCTTTTCTAGTTAGTGGCGAGACTCTAAGCTCACTCTTACGTGCTATTTAATCACAGTTTTAATGGGACATAAAAATTCCTTAATGTTCTGCTGAATTACCATGAATTAGGAGGTAGTGACAAAACTCTGTTGACCCATCTTTCTACTCTATGTGCAGAAATTAACACTGAAAGGCCCAGGTGCGCTTAGAGTCCACAGGCTGCCTGGTCTTGAGGAGCTAGTCCCAGTGCCTGCTCTAACTAGCAGCAGCTCTCCTGTATGACCTGCAAGTGAGACCGGGTCGTTCATGAGTCTTTGAAGCCTGATCCCACTGAACCCTACGAGATGGCCCTTGGTTGGAAGAATCATACTAATTGAGTGATTTCTTCTAAAAGTCAGCTATAAAGGATGAGCTCTGCACAGCAGTTGGGATACAGTTCAATGCTAGATCATGTCTACCTAGGCCCTGGGCTTGTGTTCCCAGTACACACAGAAGAGCACTCAGACTCTATCTCTGAACCCTAAATCTATATAAAGCCCTCACAGAGGAGACAGAAAATGCTTTCACCTCACATATATTGTTATGGCTTCAAATAACAGTCTCAGGGGCTGGAGAGATGTCTCAGCAGTTAGGAACACCTGCTGCCCTTCCTTACAGAGGACCAGAGTTCAGTTGTTCAGTTCCTAGCACCTCCAGTTCTAACAGATCTGATGCCTTCTTCTGGCCTCCTGGGGCATCTGCACATATGTGGTACTCATTTAAAAAAACAAGTACATAAAATAAATGAATCTGGGAGGAAAATCCACAGAAACCAACCAACCATAGTCACAGGATGGTGATTAGTGTTCATGACCATAATCATGATATCCAACAGTTGTGGTAGCCTACACCAAAGTTCTGGCACTGAAGCTAGCTAGGTCTACATAGTTGTTTTTTTTTTTTTTTTTAGATCTTATCTCAAAAGCAAAGAATAAGGGAGGGAGGGTTCAACAGTTAAGAGCATTGTCTGCTTTTCTAGAGGACCCAGGGGTCCAACTCCCAGCAGACTCATGGTAACTTACAACACTCTACAACTAGTTCAAAGTAACTCAGCACCCTCTTCTGGTCTCCACAGGCACCAGGGATGCACATGATGCACTTATATACATGCAGGCAAAACATCAATATACGTCAACCAAATATATATGTGTGTATGTATGCATACGTGTGTGTGTGTGTGTGTATTTATATATGTTTTAAGGAAGAGATTTTTTTCAGGGGTAGGGACTGAATGTAGGACTGTGTGCACATTAGGTGTGTAGCCCACGTCAATGTTTTGAACTCAAAAGTCTGTGAATCATTTGTATTTCCTACCTGAGCGATTTCTTTCATCTGTAGAGTTGATATCGGCACCCAAGGACAACAGAGTTTGAACTGTGCTTGTCTGTCCTTCCTGAGTGTTGAAATAAATTCATTACCACTGTGATGAAGACAAAAACCAAACCTCTAAAAATAACCTCTAGTGTGCACTAGAAACTCTTTCTGACACAACCAACTGCAAATGTTGAATCTTCCTGTTTTAAGGAAGGTTTATATCATCCATGATTCTAACATGAATCATTCAACAATGGTAACGTTTAGTTATCAGGGTAGATAATACAATTAAATTTCCATCAAGGTTAGCAGTATGAAACCTTGTGCTTTATATGGAAGTCATAATTCCAACATTTCCCAATGATATGAACTTTTTGTTAAAATCATTAAGGCAGAGGGGAGTTGAACGATTGAGGTTTTCAGAAGGGAGGTACCTGCCACAGCCAGCATCATTCACAAAGTAATTTATACATACCGTCTAGTTGGTCAGTGGAAGGCTAAAATCAAGACTGCAGGTTCAACCAACCTATCTTTCTTCCTTTCTTTCTTCCTTCCTTTCTTTCCTTCTTTCTTTTTTTTTTTTTTTCGAGACAGGGTTTCTCTGTGTAGTCCTGGCTGTCCTGGAACTCACTCTGTAGACCAGGCTGGCCTCGAACTCAGAAATCCACCTGCCTCTGCCTCCCAAGTACTGGGATTAAAGGTGTGCGCCACCACTGCCCGGCGATTTCAACCTTTCTACAGAGGAAATGTTAGCTTCTCTTCCCATGTCTGTGGATGGGACTCAGGCCATCCATGCACTTATCCCTTGTATTCATAAGTGTGAGGTGGGGGTTGTTGGTCAGAAAATATGTGCCTTTGCTTCTAAATAAAGACATGCGGCTTCTCAACAGTGTATAATAAGCAAGGCTCCTAAAATAGCTTTTTCTAAATTTGTATGCAGATCCTTAATGTTGTACACATTAGAGAAACCAGTAGATGCAATTCCTTTGTGCCAGTTAAAGAGATTTTAACTTCCGAATTCAATACAAGAAAGACCTACAAATTTCATACAATGAATCTTTGCTCATTTGTTAATTATTAGCAAGTAGTTTTGCGCGCGTGTGTGTGTGTATGTGTGTGTGAATACAGTAATGCAGGTCCCTGTTGAGGCTAGAAGATCTAAAATGTCTGAAGAAATAAGGGAATAAGCAAAACTACTTTATACCTCGTGTTTTCTGAGGAACAGCTTGGCTGTGCTAACATGGCTGGACTGAGTTGTATCTATGAAGGGCGTGACACCACAGATCCCCTGGAGCTGGAGTTACAGACAGTTGTGAGTTGCCTGATGTGGGTGTTGGGAACTCTGCAAGAGCAGCAAGCACATATGACCACTAGGCTATCTCTCTGACCCCCACTTGTTTATTTTTAATAGAAAAGTTTCAGCATGACTATACTAAAGTAGAATTTCACAATTTGCTCTCAAACACTTAGAGACAACTGAGAAGGCCTCCATCATCCTTCAACATCTTTATGGTTTTAAATAACATTATTCCTGGAAATGAGAGTGGGAAGAGTACATAAAGCACAAGTAGTAGATTTCCCTTGGGAGGCAGAGACAGGCAGGATCTCTGAGTTCGAGGCCAGTCTGGTCTACAGAGAGAGTTCCTGGACCATCAGGGCTACAGAGAGAAACCCTGTCTTGAAAACAAACAAATAAAGAAGTTCTCTCTCCACTTAAAACAAAAAAAAAAATTATTTAGTATATAGTATTTTATATGCATGTACATCAGTATACCAAAAGAGGGCACCATATTTCATTACAGATGGTTGTGAGCCACCATGTGGTTGTTGGGACTTGAACTCAGGACCTCTGGAAGAGCAGATACTGCTCTTAACTTTTGAGCTATCTCTCTAGCCCCTCTCTCCCCATTTTTAAAAAAAAAAAAAAAAATCAGGTTTCTATTTAAAGAGATAAAAGACTCAGAATCACAGACATCTCAGGAGTATAGACTACAGATGGAGCAAAGATGCCAGGACTACAGGATGTCAGTCATAGGAGCAAGGCCAGCTGAAGGAGTGCTGAGACGAGGAGCAACTGACCTTCGCTGCATAGTGAAGGGCTGTGAGCTGGCTTGACTTTGCTCTCACATCTACATCGATGCCAAGACCGCACACCAGGAATCGTATGGCTTCATCCTGCCCAGTGACTGCTGCTCGGTGTAGAGCCTGGGCCCCCAGGCTATCTGCGGCTGAAGAGCAAGCCTAGCAGGCAGGAAAGAGGAGCAATGTCAAATGCAGAGGAATCTGGTTCATGGTCCTGTAGACGTATGGGGAGGCTTCGCTGTCTCTGTGGTTCTTCTGGGTAGAGCACATAATTTCTGTCTGATTCTCAAAGGACTTGAAGTGAAATGTGATCAAGTCAATGCTCTGGCTACAGTGCCTTCAGCTCTGTCAGGATACTTTGTTGCTATTCAGCATACTTTGTTGCTATTACTATTAAACGACACCATTTACTCAATCCTTAGTTTGCTAAGTGCATTTTGTATGTAGGTTATCGGATGCTCCCTGGATCTTGTCCAGGATCCTGAGCGTGCCATGCTATGCAAGCATTTTACTTTGAGCCCCATCCCCAGCATCATTTAACCCTTAGGAGCCTTCTGAAGAAAGCGCATTTCGTCACCATTTTAGAGATGAGAACAGTAATGCATGGAGCCTACGAAGGCCAAAGGTCCTCCTACTCGGGAAACTCAGAGGATCCAGAACTTGAAGCCAGCAGCTGAATAATGATGTATTATTTATCCCCAGATCTAAAATTTCTAAAGAAGAAATAAAGCAGTAATCAAAACCACTTTATGGGCTGGAGAGATGGCTCAGTGGTTAAGAGCACTGATTGCTCTTCCAGAAGTCCTGAATTCAATTCCCAGCAACCACGTGGTGGCTCACAACCATCTGTAATGGGATCCAATGACTTCTTCTGGAGTGTCTGAAGACAGCAACAGGGTACTCACATAAAATAAATAAATTAAAAAAAAAACACAAAACAAACAAACCACTTTATACCTTGTGATTTTCAAGGAGCAGCTTGGCTATGCTAACATGGCCACACTGAATTGCATCCATGAAGGGCGTGACACCACAGTTGTCTCTACAGTCTGGTTCATAGTGACACCTATAGCCAATTTAAAAAAAAAAAAAAACAGAGCTGTGAATAGTCACCACTTCAAACCCAAGACAGGTGACATGATGGTCTGTGGGCAGACTGTGTGCCTCACTAATGATCCGTGACAGCCTCTGAACCGAGCTCCAGGACTTGGGGACCTTCCTCTTTAACCTTTACCATGTCTGTGAGAACCTTCCTTTCTTCAGCTTCTCCGCTTGGTGCTTCTGTAGTCACCATTATTCCTATCTTTCTCTTTTCTTTCCCAACCAATTACATAATGTAACTCTGAAGTCAGGCTATTTAAAACATGTCTCCTCCTCTCCATCTATGCTTATGCACAAGTCTACTGACAACAGCCGCCCAATGTTCTTCCCATCATCACCCTCTCCTCAAGAACCCTGCCCCCCATCCCATCCCCACATCCCCACCCCCCACAGCAACCAGAGTCATCCTGCTGTGCAGTCCATCCTGGCCTGGAACTCATGCATTTCTTGCCTCTGTCTCTGGAGGCCTGGAATTACAGATGTGCACCACTTCCTGTAGCTTTTTATTTCTGGGATTCCATGGAACTATTTATCCATAGTTCTCATTAGCCTATGAAGGCCATTGGAGTGGAGCTATGTTTAATCTCATTACCCAGACCTAACTAACACACTTCAGTGAAGAGTATTTACAAATGTACAAAAAAAGTACATCTGTGGCTCTAAGTGCTTGCCACATGCTTTTAGGACCCGACCCAGGGTTGAGTGCTCTTTGCTTTGACCAAGTTACCTTTTCCTTGTCTAACCTCACATCAGCATTCATACGTCGCAAAGCCTAGAATTTGTATCTGGCCCATCTTGTCTCTGCTTATTTGAACTCTTTGCTTTGATCTTCCACAGAGATAGAACTACTCCACTTGTCTCAACCTGCTCCTCTTCCAGTGTGTCATGTCTCATCAAGTGGCACAGGTACCGCAATGTAAAAGTCACCCTTGGTGTTCCCTTGCCTCTCCTTTATTTATTTTCGATGGTGCCAGGGATGGAGCCCAAGGCCTTAAATATGTTAGGCAAGAACTCTACCACTGAGCTACTTCCCCAGGCACATTTTCACCTTTTGCAATTGATTCAATTTCTAAAAGATACCCTCAATACACCTCCTCTCTCTTGCCTTAGTCACTGTTCTATTGGTGTAAAGGTAACGCTTTATGAAATAAAGCATTTAATTTGGAGCTTGCTTACAGTTTCAGAGGCTTAATCCATTATCATCATGGTAGAGAGCATGGTAGCACACAGGAAGGCACTGGAGCAGTAGCTGAGAGTTACATCCTGATCCACAAAGAGAGCCTAGCCCTGGCATGGGATTTCAAAACCTCAAACCCCACCCCCTAGTGACATAATTCCTCCAACAAGGCCACTAATCTTAATCCTTCTAATCCTTTCAAATACTGCTACTCCCTGGTGATGAAGCATTCAGATATATGGAGCCATTCTTATTCAAACCACCACACTATTCTATACTCATCTCTTCAGCCCGGCTACCATATTTCTCTATTTCACTTCATCAACCTAAGATACAATCTCACAGAAACCTGTTCCCATCCCAGGTTCATTTATGTTTTACAACCAGGTGATCCTTGAAAACTGCTGATTTCTTACAACCCTTGGCTTAAAAACTCTTCAACAAGGGGCAGGAGAGATGGAGCAGCAGTGACAGTGTTGTTGCTCTTTCAGAGGACTGGCTGGGGTTTGAGTCCGTCTGACACCATCCTCTGGCCTCCACAGGCACCAGGCATGCATTCAAGCAAGCAAAACACTCATAAACAGAAAATGAAAATAAATCTAAAAAACCAAACTAAACCAAACCATAACAAACAAAAAACAAAAAAACAAAAACAAAACAAAACCCCAACAACGGAAAAAGAAAAACCCAACCTTTCAACAAGGTTGGGCATGGTGGAACATACTTTTAATATCAGAATTGGGGAGGCAGAAGCAGGTGGATTTCTGTATGTTTGAGACCAGTCTAGTCTACGTTTTGAAAAGTTCCAGGCCAGCTGGGACTACATAGCAAGATCCTTCTCAAAACCAACCAACCAACCAACCAACCAACTCAACTCCTCAATAGTATCTCACATGCCCAGAATAAAATGCAAACTTTTCACAGTGGTCTACATCACCCGTATTCTCTTTATTGTTTAGACTTCAGCATACTGTGAACTACTTCCAGTCTCTCAAATGTGTTATACTTTTCCTTAGTGAAAAAATCTCCCTTGCCCCTCATGTGCAGCTGTTACTCTCAGGTGAACAGCTTTGGTTTGGCTGGTGCTGAGACATTTACTTTTTCAGTCTTTATTAATTTATACTGGGCCCGCCTACCACATGCTCCTATGGGGATACTGAATCCCCTGCAACGCTCATTGGTACGCAGGCCTTGTTGATTGCTGACTCTGAGCTCTCCATGTAAAAGAAAGACTAGCTCCTTGTTATAATTGAGAAATACTTTCCACCAACTTACAGTTCTGTGCTTACCTCTCAAGAAGCTCCTGGACTGCTTCAAAACAGCCGTGCATTGCTGGGGACAAGAATGGAACATTTTAGTGCATACTTGAAACTTTGGCCGGGGAGGTAGCTCACTGTCTAAACATCAGCCAAGCGTGTGTAAAACCCTGGGTTTTACCCCAGCACAATGAATACATAATCAAAAACAAGCACAATTCTTATTCCTCTTACTTACTCTGCCCATTATTATTATTTTTTTATTCTATTTTCTGTATGTGACTATTTTTCCCACATGTTTGTATAAGTACCACATGTATGGATTATACCCACAGAGGTCAGAGGAGGGTAATGGATCCCTTGAAACTTGGGATCTAGAGTTAGAGATGGTTGTAAGACACCGTTTGAGTGCAGGGAACTAAACCCCGGTTCCTTTGGAAGAGTGGTAAGTGCTCTTAACTGTGGAGCCATCTCTTCAGCCATTTCTGCCCTGGACTTCTCACAGAGAAAAACCTAAAGCAGCTACAATTACTGTCCCAGCAAGGGAAAATTCAACTAAATGGTAAAGAATGATGTTTTCACTTTACGCATCTGATACTATTTCATCTTTATGAGTACTTTCACAGTAAGCTTCTAATTTTAAACATAGTGCCTCCCTCACTTTAGCACTAAAGGGCAGTGTGGTCTCTCACCAGAAATCTACAAAAGCATTTTTGACTGTAATCTACTTAATAGGAATCTATAAATTATTATCCAGAAAGTTACTTCTCCTATTGAAGATGCCTGCACTCAACAGGAAAGATTCTGACTATCTGTCCTCCGTTTATTTTGGTGAGTGATAGGTTGCTGACTGCTTCTCCAAGGGATTCTTTTTTTTTGGGGGGGTGGGGGGTGGGAAGGTGTGATGGGAGAGCTGGCCAAGCAATTTATGAACTGTGTAGATTTTTTTCTACTTATTCAAAAATAATTTATTGATCACTATGGGTCAGCGGTGGCTGGAGAAATACTGGCTGCTTTTATCCAGACTGTATCATATCTCAGGCATTGGTCTAGAGAAAGTAAGAGCTCAGGATCCTACTTCAATGAACTACCCCTTAGATGAAGAATTAGTTTCCAAATTTCTCTTTGGGAGGTGGGATGTTAGGAGACATGAGACAGGGTCTCCCAACACTGCCCTGTTGGCCTTAAACTTGCATGGATCCTGTTGCCTCAGCTTCCCAAGTGCAAAAATTACAGGCATGCACCATGCTGCTTGGCTTATTGTTTAACTTTTTTGTTTTATTAGACTCGTGAGACTATTATACACACATTCCACTCTAATTTGCTTTTCCCTAGGACTCTACAGCATGGTATCATTACCACTATACAGACCAAGTTCTTCACCCAGGGTCACGACTTTAGAAGAAACAGACCAGCTTACCATCTAACTAACCAGGACAGGTAAGACAGACACACAGGAAAAGTAGACTGACATAAGTACATATTAACCGAAGGTTCAGTCACTTTAGAAACTTATAGTTTGCCAAGGGAGCAGAAGATGTTCTGACGCTTTGACTCCTGGTTTCCCAAATCCTCCATTCCCCTGCAGGTGACTTCAACTACAAAGTGTAGACAGTGCTTGAGTAGAGCCAACTGCAGACTACAGAGCTTGCAGGGTGTACCTACAGTGTGTACTTGCAGGGTGTACCTGCAGTGTGTAAAGGAGTTCTTCTAATTTTGCTCTCTGTTTTCCAAGCATCTGGGCAGACAGTGAGCAAGTACCGGAGAATCACAGGGTCGCCTTCTCTACTGGCAATGTGGAAACTGTTCCAGCCGTCCTTGTTCTTCAGGAGTGGATTGGCACCGTGATCCACAAGGTCCTGGATCACCTCAAGGTTCTTCCTTGTGCAAGCCATCATCAGAGGAGTCCTAAGGCCAACCAGGATGGAAAGGAGCTGAGGCACTTGGAAGAAGCCTTCACATTATGCATGTTTTTGGTACAGACGGAAAACCTAGAGAAGTCAGGTGGTGGTGGCAGAAAACCACCTTAGACTGTCAGCCTCTGACTTCTCTGAGAACTGTGGAAAAATAACAAAGGGAAACTGATTCTGAATGTACATCCACAGTAGTAGGTTATCTGAGGGTAAAACCTTTTTTTTTTTTTTTAAAGGTTTTTCAAGACAGGGTTTCTCTGTGTACCCCTGGCTGTCCTGGAACTCACTCTGTAGACCAGGCTGGCCTCGAACTCAGAAATTCACCTGCCTCTGCCTCCCAAGTGCTGGGATTAAAGGCGTGCCCTACCACTGCCTGGCGGCAAAACCATTTATGAACCAAGCAGACAACTGATAAAATCCACAGCTAACCTTCAAGATATAGTGGAACTACATCTTTACAAAAGATACACATTTAAGTATATGGTTCTCTCCTGCTCTTGATGTGTTGTGATCAAACTTAAGAGGCTCACAGATGCTAGGAGGGTGCACCACCTCTGATATACTTCCCAGCCCCTATGTTTTGACAGATTTGAAATAACTTGAAGGAAAGAACTTCATTAAGTTATGAGCCTAAAGAAGTTCACAGGCTCTTAGGAATTAGACATGGAACTAAAAGAGATGTCAATCTAGCAAGAAATTGAAATTGTTTTGTGTGGTGGAAGAGTATCACCAACATTCCTGCTGGTGGCTCTGCAAATATAGATGTGACAAAACTGCATAAGAACTCAATATTCGGTGCATTAAAATATGTAATCGTGAATAGGTAATTTAGCAAGATGTCTCCAGGAAAATGCATCTTGGGCACACAAGTAGTACAATTACCCGTTACACTCCACTTGGTTATATTTCTATACTCTTTCAACGGGAAGCGACTGTCCTAACTAAAGAACCAAACCCACAAGCAAGGAAGGTCGGGGAGAGGATTAGAAGCTGAGAAAAGTTATACATCTAACGAACACACTGAAAAATACATGAAAATCTGCGATTCTTCAGGGAGTGTCGATATAGCTTTTCAAGACCCTGGGCTGGGCACCTACCAGTCCGCCTTCTTCAAGGAGTCCACAACTGCACCTCGGCCCAGGAGGTAGCGCACGCAGTCCGGGTGGCCCATAGAGGCAGCTTCGTGCAGAGGCCGCTTGTAGTCTCGGTTGGCGGCCTCGATGTCCATATTGCAAGCCTCCACTAGGTACTCTAGGATGTCCTGGCGCCCGTGGCGTGCTGCACAGTGGAGAAGGGTGTCCCCAGCAGGCCCTTGGCTGCCTCGGGCCATCTCTGGCCCCGGGCAACCTCCAGCTAACTCCAGCTCCGCCTGCAGAGCACGCAGCTGGCCCTCCTGCACCAGCCTGCAGAGGCGCCGCGGATCCCCAGGCGGAGCCATCGCCCTGGACCAGGGTGGACAAAAATAGGAAGAGCCAAGTCCAGTCTTTCTAGATTCAGACCCTTGCTACGATGTGTTGGGAGAAGCTGAGAAAGCTGGCGCTTCCGCTTCCTGCACGTGACCGTTCTCTCCAGCCTCTCCGCCCCGCCCCCTAGCCGGATTCTGCCCGCCAGCTTCTTTTTTACGCCTCTTGCCCTGGGTTGGAAGTCACAATCTCCAATGGAAAATGGTGTCTCCTCGGGCGACAAGCACACCCGTAGGTCATTCTGGTTACCGCGCTCTAAACATGCGGACTCATCAGGGTGGGGCCTCAGGCTCTCGGGGCTTGGGGTAAGGGTGTGCACCTGACAGCCCGGAGCTGTCCCTTGCACCCGTGTGATCTGGGGACGGAAGACCTATCAGAATGGAGTGTGTGGGTGTACCGCAAAGCCCTGGAGTGGGACCGAAGGGCTTTGCAGCCTGACCTCGCACCCCAGATGTGGTCTGCTCTCCACCGTACAGGGGATGTTTGCTGAGCTGCTCCGGTGGTAGCTGTACAGGCAGCCGGGCTGGAGCTGAAGCGTTGCCAGCTCTCCGCAGCCGAGCGCACGCTGCCCACTACCCTGGAGCCTAGCTAGCCCACCTCAGCTGAAAGGATGTCTGCACAGCGGCATCCTTCAGCTGACCAGGCTCCCAACAGCAAGGGTTTCTGAGGCCTCTCAGCTGGGACCGTGTCCTTGTGCTCCGCCCGATCCTCACCCAATCCGCAGCCGACCCCAGCCCCCCTCCCCGCCCGCTGCTGCCTTCTCAGCCCCCGCGGGAACCCAGGGAGCTCGAAGGAACTCTGGGAAAGTTTCCTTCGCCTCCTCCGCGGTAGCGGAAGCACAGATGGGGCGTGGCTCAAAAAAGCAGAGCCACGCCCCCTCCCGCTTCGCGTACGCATTGGCTCTAGAGTCTGTCTGTCCGCGCGACCCTCACAGTTCTGAGTTTCGATTGGTTCACAGGTCCGTCCGTCGTCTCCGGTGGTGGGTGCGTCTTGGCAGCGAAGAGGCGGAGCTCGCGGAGGAAGTCTGCAGTCGTCCCTGCTCGCTGTCTGGGCCGAAGGAGGGGCTTGCTGGTCGGGGAAAGGCTGGATGTCCAGCGGCATCGGCCGGGTGGTGTCGGCGCCGGGGTCCTGGGCCGGGCCGCCATAGTGCGTGAGACCGTGGACTTGGCGTGGGGTGCGAGCCGGGCAAACTTCATATTGTGCGGGCCCCGCGCAGGGGTCTTGGCCTCGGGGGTGGGGCCCTAGCTGAGGGTGGGTGTAGGAGCTGGCCGTGCCCGCGGTGGTCTGGAGTGGGCCTGCAAGAGGAGGCCGGAAGCTCTCTGCAGACCCCCATCCCTCCGCCGCTCCCTGAGGCTCCGGAAGGGGCAGCACCTGAGAAGATGTAGTCTCTGCTGCTGGCAAGCTTGGCTTGTCTCCACTGTAATGCTTTTGACCTTGGGCGAGTCATTGTATGCTGCTCCTGATGTTTGTGTTTGCCTTGGTCGTCTCCTACCCCCTCATCTGAACAGGTGATGATGATTAAGGGGACTCGAGAAACCCTGGGGGCTTTTTGGAGGTCTCTTTGAGATCCGAGCAAGCTTTGTTGGCTACCTTTCGAGGAACTAGACATTTAACCTAATGGTGTTTCTGTTTGGGGAGTAAAATGGAAGTCACTGCTGCCAGGCTTAAAACAGTTTCTTTGCCTTTGGCACTACATTCTGGTTCACTAAGAGCGTGACATTGTCTATTCCATAAGCAGCCTATAGGTAGCATTCAGGTTTTAGAGCCAAGGAAGGACATCGAGGCCTAATGAAGTTAGTGATTTTTTACCACGAATTGGAAAGTTGACGCATCTGATAGTTTCAAACTTTTTGCTGCTTTGCATGGTTTTAAGTCTCTAACGCTTGGGAGACTGAATGAAGCAAGAGGTCCTTAAGTTCGAGGCTAGTCTGGGCTACCTACTCCTTCCTTACAAATGATTTCACGTTTTCTTGCTGTATATCTCTTATGTTTCCTGTCCTTTACACAAAACCGTGAACCCTGGTTCACAAAAGGATGATATTGGGAATTTAATTGGTATTTCAAATAAGATTCAATCTCTCTTTTGCTTTATGAATTTACTTTGGTCTGTGTTTTCCTTTGGGAAACTAGATATTTTTTTGTGAACCTACCCTGTACCCCTTGTGATTTTTTGGAGAGGGGTGGGTATTTATGCTTTAAGTTTATGCATAGGGCCACTGCTTTTCTCTCTGGTTGAGCTGCCTATTTCTTTGTTTTTTTTTTTTTGTTTTTTTTTTTGTTTTTTTTTCTTTTTGGTTTTTCGAGACAGGGTTTCTCTGTATAGTACTGGCTGTCCTGGAACTCACTCTGTAGACCAGGCTGGCCTCGAACTCAGAAATCCGCCTGTCTCTGCCTCCCAAGTGCTAGGATTAAAGGCGTGCGCCACCACTGCCCGGCGAGCTGCCTATTTCTTAAGTGAAGGTCTTTGGAGTTTGAGGCCTTTACTATCTCAATTCCCTTGTAACTGTCAACGGAATTGAGATTTTTTGATCTAACTTTTGCTGTATTTCATGGATCTTTGGTACTTGGATGTCGTTGTTGAATCAGTTCTTTAACATGTTTCCTGACTTGTGAATACATAAAAGTATTTGAATTCTAATTTCAAATGTGTTACTATCACACACACACCCTTATATTTATCTGTTCCTCCCAGGCTGACTTGACTTTAGACAAATTTAGATTCTGTCTTTGCTGTTTTGGTTTTGACAAAGCTTCTAGAAATTTATCACCAAAGCCAGCTCTTACGTTGTCAGTGGTCATTTGTGTGCTCTTTGAAGACTATTTTTACATTTCATAGAACTCTCTGTAGCTTTAACTGGGTATTCTACAGAACCTCTTAAAATAATCTGGACATGATGGCACACACTTGATCGGCCTAGCATTTAGTTAGCTTAGCATCTACCTCAGCAAAGCAAAGCAGACCAACCACCAACCAAAACAACAACAACAAAGCCACAAGAGGAAACCCTAAAAAATTATTTTTAAAACTGAAACTTCTAGGCCTTTCAGTGTGTGAAAAATGATTTAAAGCAGCCATTTCTTCCTTTGCTTTTTAACATAGCTAATGATGTCGGCTCTCTTCATGTTCCACAAGTGGAGTCAGTTGTCCTTCGTTTTTCTCTTGGTCTTCACACCTGGTTGATACGCACCTGTCCTTGCTATTCAACTTCTGCCAATTCTTGCCTAGCTTGGTACCATGACTTTCGGATTTGTTTTGCTGACTATCTCCATGTCTGTCTAAACTTGGTTGTGTAATGGCCTTGCTTTTGAAAACAGCATGTTACTCTGAATTGCCTATGCAGTAAAGGCCAATGTCTTCAGCAGTATGTAAGAGGACCCTTGTAGTCTCTGGCTTCAAGTTCATTTTCCAGCCTTGTTAGTTTTCATTGCCTGTCAGTTAGCTATTTGTTCTAAAGAAAGGAAACCTTTCTGTCACACATTCTGCCATTCCTTTGTTTTTATTCATATCGTTTTCTTGTGCCTAACTGAATCCTGTTCATCACTTAAGGCACATCTCTTTATGGAGATTCTTCTAACAGTCCTAATTATATTTACTACCATAGGCCCTTATGTGTATATTTATGTAGCGCTTGGATTGCTGTATGTTTAGCAATTTGTGTTTGTTTTGGTAGCTGCCTTATGGTCAGGCTTACTTATTTTTGTATGCTCTCCAACGTCTAAAATAGCATTAGCAACAAGGATACCATAAGGAAAGCCCTCATGGAGTTCATAGTAAATCTGGGATATGGTAGAAAAATGAAGAGGTTGAGGAATGAGTGAATAAATAATAGAAAATGGTTTTCAAATACATAAAGATACATTGTGGACAGTAAATAGTGATTTTTCATTTATTTGTTTGTTTTCTGTCATTCTGTCTGAGGAACACAGAATGAACAGTCAAGCCTGTCTTTTCTTGCAGTAATAAATGGGTGCTACACTTAAGAAAGTAGTTGGTGCTGCTGGACTGGGAAGATGGCTCAATTGGTCAAGTGCTTGCCAGTCAAGCATTAGGACCTGACTTGGATCCTTAGCACCACATTAAAAAAACAACAACAACAAAAAAAACACCTGCATGAGCATGCGTGCCTCGTAATAGCATTTCGAGACAAGGCAGGTGCCTGAGCTTGCCAGCCAGCTAGTCTTAACTGAATCAGGTGAGCTCCAAGGCCCAGTTAGAGAAGCAGGACAGATTCTGAGAAATGACACCTGAGGTTGAACTGGCCTCCTGATGCATGTATACCAGGGTCCTTCCCCTTCACGCTCTCCACAGCAAAGACTGGGCCAACTGATGTGTCCTTTGGGTGTAGAGAAGCAGGAAGTGGCGGTAGGTCTTTCCTTGAAGACTGAATGACAGAAAGAGGAATGAGAACCAGCTCTCCACTCTTTCTGTGTTTGATGTGTGTTTGTCTGTTTTCCTTAGAGTTAAATGGGGACAAAATATTTAGAAGTTTTTTCCCATTCTGAGTCTATACTATAGATTGCACAGTGACATTTCTCTTACAGTTCATTTTTTCTGAGTATTTGCTAGTAACCATCTTTGATTGTGACATATAACAGTTTTTTTAAAGTGCTATAAGAATTCAACTTGAGAAAAAAAAAAAGAGAGAATTCAACTTGAGGGTATTTGTTTTTAGTAAAGTTTTCCATCCATGCTGGCCCAAAATCCCCGAGTGCTGGGATTAGTTATATATCTTTATGTTCCACTAACTTGCCATTTTTCCAACCTCCTGTAAAGTTTTCCGGACCTAGAAAGGCAGAATGTTAAAGTCGAAAACACACCAGACCAAGTAGTCAGAAAAGCCAAGTTCTTCTGCTGGTGTTACTAGTTAAAAAAAAAAAAAAAAAAAAGATTGAGATTCATGTGCATATGTGTATAGCAGAGTGTGTATAGCCTGCAGTGTTGGGAAGAACTATTGATCCCCCTGGAGCTGGAGTT